AAGCTTGCATTTTAGCGCGGACGGCGCGCAATTCAAATCGCACACTCCCTTCCCGATCAATATCTGCCATCCGCCATCTCCTTCCGTCTAGCTGATTCTCACATGTCTGTTTGCAGTGATTAGTGGAGACCGGTACATAACAAGTCGTTAAACTGAAGAACCATGATTTCGATTACGTCATGTAAATCATTATTTTACTCTATTTTTCATTTCACTGAATGGTATTTATGGTTTTTCTGTTCTCGCTTCTAGGCTTGCAGAGTTCGATGTTTCTTTGAAGTGAATGTTTACGACTGCTTTTTCACCATTGTTTTCTGCTTCTCTGTTTTTTCTGTGAAATATTTTAGGCCCACGTTGAACCGCAAACTGGAATGTTAGAGTCACTGCCCCTGTTCAGGTGATGCCGCCTCTTCCTGTCTCCTTCTGATACAGATTATCAGACCGGGTCTTACTGATTGGTAGCAACGCACATATAGAAGGTGAGAAACAAACTTGCATCTTTTCATTTGATGCTGTTTTCGGTAATATTACCGCATTTGCTTTCATTTTTCATTTCACTATGCATGGCATTAGCTTCTTTCGATGTTTCAGGTTTATTTTTTCAAAGTTGTTTTATATATCTTGCTGAATAATTGTTTCCATACGCTCTAATATATGGTGTGTTTAGACGATTTGATGAATATTGCGAAATTATCATGGATGCAAATTTTTTGGGTTGCCGGCTTCTCTTATACAATCGGACAAGTAACTCAGGTGACGTTTTTGTACCTGTACTGTCTTGTAGTCATCATGTTTTTTAGACCGAAAGCGCATCAGGAACCCCGCTCCTGACCATCTCAACAGTCCTTTCGTCGCGAAAGTCAGTCCAGGGCTGACATCATCCCGGGATTATCGACGTGAACAAGCTGGTAAGTAAATCTTAGATTGCTATGATTCGAAGATTAGAAGTGTGACGTTTTTAGGGTAGATTGTGCCAATATTGGATTATGCACAGATACAGCCATCATTTCTATTACTTGGTGGTCGAAATGCGGCTTGACAAATAGGAGCAGAATGTTTCTCTCACTCCTTGTTCTAAGTGGAAAATTTTGGAGAGGAGATAGATTTTCCTCGCACGCTTCGTTTCCACATATGGTACTAGTATGGCTGTCTGCTTTTCTTTGCTCAGCTTTTTGGATATCTGCTTTTTGACAGAGTGTTGCTGAATGTTTTGCATAGATTGTTCACTAAGTTCCTTGACAGTTAAGGAACCACTAAGTTGCGTCATAGTTGAGGAAAAGCGGTTTGTGACCTTCAATAGTATCACTTGTGAGCGAGACTTTCGTGTGAGGAAGGATCTACGTACTCATCGTATGTGATTTACTTGTATCACCGATAGTGTACAAAAAAACAGAAAGCCACATTTGAGCTCGACTTGACACAGGTTGTTTACGAGTTTCTGTTAATATCCTTGCTAGTGCATATATCATGGCGCCATCTCTGTACGAAATATTTTCAATGAGCTCGTGCTCTAGTAACACATTTGATGAGCAGATCTCTGGCAAGTTATCCTTTTGATTATTCTCCCTCTTTTTTTGTTTTACTGTGTATCACGAATCATTTTTATAATAAAGATTACCATATTGCAGTCGTTAATCACACTAACGAAGCAATGAGATAGAGGTGTAGAAATCATTGAAGTAGAGACAAGAAGGTTATCAAAACCTACAATGAACCGTATGTGCTCAGTTTTTCGTATTCTCGCTATTTTTTATTCCATTTCCAGTTGTTCTAATTTTGTTCTGCTACGATGTCACGCACGTTCAATGGAGGCGAGGGAGCTGTTACACCTTGTTTCTTCGGTATTGTCAAAAAGGAAATCATTGTTTTTCCTGCTATTAAGTCGTATCGTTTCGCAAATCTTCTTCGTATCTTATTGTCGACTCTAAGTCAATGAATGATTAGTTCGATACAAGATTACAAGACTTATTACAAGATTTGATGTTGAGGGGATAACAAAGCGTTTCTCAGCTCGGGGTTAGATAGGATCTTCTCAAAGAAACGTTTCTTTTTCATAGATATGCGGGACTAGGCGCTAAAGAGAAAATGGGGAGGCGATGAAAGGAGCCTCAGCAAGAAAAGCGTATGTTTTTGCACTCAAGTTGACGAAAACAGGATTATTTGAATAGCCGTCAGCGTTACAATGTATATAATCAGTCCTTGTACGGTACTAGCAGGACGCTAAATTTATCTTCTCATCCCTACGCAAAGACTTTACATTCTTTCAGATAGACCTTTGGACTCCATATATCCACTTTGAAGCCTGATAACGCGTAGGTAACAACTCTGATGAATCACTTAAGAATAATCTTTTATTGCTACACATAACAATGTTTAGCAATACTCGTAGTGTGACTGAAACGTAGATACACAATAGTAACAAACAACAACGATTGAAATTGCACACATAGATTACTATTGACTAGTTCTATTGACCATTGAACAGTTCGTGATATGGAAGAAGTGGTGAGACCTAGAACACGAATATCAAACTTTTATGGTAATCAAACGCTAGTCAGTAAACTCCCAAAGAGAAGAGAATAATTGAAACAAACCTGATCAGCCATAACCACAACTTTTCCATAACGAAGCGATTCAAAATCTTCTTCAGTCTCATGCTTCTTGTATTGCATGCCCAGAATTTTGATCAATCATTAGTTTCAGCATTTTCTGCCACCTGCAAGTTTACCAGCTAACTCTACCTTCATCTTCGAAATTCCCTACCAAACTGCTTGATACTTCCTTCGCGAACATTCAACATCTTACCGCGAAGCGGGAAGACTCCATACCGATCACGATCAACCATACCGAAATTAGAAACAGTCAAAGTCTTGGCTGGATCTCCCTCAGTGAGGATCAGCGTACAGAATTGGGAGTTCTTTGTGCCGGCATTGTTGGCATCTTCCAGTTTCGGAATGCCCTGAAATCGAGCAATAAGGTAAAGCGAGTATAACGCAAAAGAATAACAACCTTCAACTTAGTGATTTTCTTACCACTGCATTTCTTGTTCATATCTTCTTGCTACTTGATTCTCACCCAAGGAAGCACTGCATCTACAATACCGCAATTGATGGCCTGGAAATACTCAAGGTTTTCACGAAAATGGAGGATACTGCGCGTAAGCTGTATTCGCAGCTTCACAACCCTCAATTGTGAACCCTATTAATGTTTACCTTTTCTCTGATTACCTGAAAATCTAATGAACCAAGCAAAACTGTAGCTGACCTGCTTTGTGAACTTCTCGCTGTGCTCGCATTTTGGTCTGAATAATTTTGCTTGCAGGATCACTGTTTCCTCGAAAGTAGGGTTTTTAATCAAACAGTTTACAGACACGCACATTTGGTTTCTCACCTGAAAAAAAAAACAGCAACATCGTGACAATAGAACAGTAAGGCAGTAGTCGAACTCACTTGGAATGGTTTACGTTGACTGTGCTTTTTTCTAAATTCTTCTTAATAACTTCGATCAACTTGGCTACCGTCTGATCAGCCACATAGTCGAGACCGCTGAACCGCCTTATCCGACGCTGCGCCACTTCCCATCGATCGTTGACCTCAAAAATTATAAATTACTTCCAAATCTGAAAAAGCTCGAACTTCACTAACCGATCTAAACAATCTTAGCTGGATCACCTGTTGGACCAGAGATCCTTAGTGTATTGCTCAACATACTGTTTGACCTTGCACCTTAAAAATGTAGGTATTGACTGACCAGTTTATATAGCAAAAATAAAAATCCAGCCTTAGAACCACTTGCAGAACTTTTCCATTCAGCAGCACTTTTGCACCTTTTGTGCTTCCAGCGACGTCATAAGCACGCCGACA